CAGCTCTGGAAACAGCAATACTAAAACACTATAAAGCATGCCAAATTCCATGATTAGAAACATCATCCCCAAGTTCTAAAATGTCAATCTCAGTCAAAATTTTAGAATCGATATAATTTTAAAATACATAATAACTTTCAAGTACTCTATTATTGTTGTTGAGATACAGTCTGTAGTCTGGGTTAGCCTTGAACTTCTGATCTCCACCCTTCCCAGTGCTGGAATTACAGGCCTGTGATACTACGTCTGGTTTATGTGGGGTTGAAACCCAGGAAATTTGTGTAGAAAGCAATTAGTTTATAGCAACTGAGGTATATTCCTAACCTGTGAGGTTTTTTTGGGGGGTGGGGGGTGGGGGGGAGATATTGATTCTCATACTATACCCAGGCTGGCTTTGAACTCATAATCTTCCTGCCTCTGCCTTTAGAATGCTAAGATCCAGATGCATGTCACCAGAATCAGCTTTCAACACAGTGTGTATGTGTGTGTGTTGGGGCAGGGTGTGGGTAAGTATGCATGCTTTAGTGTCTAAAGGCTCTACTCATTTTGGATGTCTTCTTCTAGTTCTACCTTTTTAAAGATATGTGTGTGTGTATGTGTGTGTGTGTGTGTGTGTGTGTGTGTGTGTTTGAATTGTGAAGGTGCCCATGGAGGCCAGAGGAGGGTGTCAGATGCCTTGAAGTGGGGGTTACAGATGGTTGTGAGACACCTGACATGGGTGCTGGGTACTGAACTCTGCCAGGCTGGAAAGTTCTCTGAACACCTGAGCTATCTCTTTAGTCTTCTTTACCCTACTTTTTGAGGCAGGGTCTCTCCCCTGAGCCTGGAGATTACTAATCCAGCTAGATTAGCTGTCCAGCAAGCCATAGAGATCCTCTTGTGCCTGGCTCCCCTGCACTGGGATCACAGCATATGCATGAGGGTGTAAGGATCCAAACTCAGGAACTCAAGCTTGACTAAAGGCCGTTCCCAGACCCTAAAAATGGAGGACTCCTCAAAGGCTATACAAGTTCTCAACATAACCCAAGTCAAATTAACCCCACTGCATTTCTGAGTTATCATTAAAGAAACATATGAAGTACTGTGGTATTCGTTCAACAGCCTGCAACCAACATTCAACACTTATTAAATAAACACATATCAGATAACTCAGCATTCACCCAGTACAGCCCTGGATTGATCCCCAGAACCAAACAATGTTTAGGAGCTCCATATGGGATGGCTGTCTGCCATGTAATCCATGTTAAGAGACCTGTGCAGGAAGCACTATTTTATAGGTGGGTCAGTCCATAGCCGAGACCATTCTATAACACAGTTCTTTCCACTGTATCAGACGACTTCCTGATCAAACTGCAGGCTGCTCACACACTGCATTGTGTTATCTATATCTGACAAGGCATCCCGTGACAGTCCTAAAGTTCTGAGTTAGGATCCCATCAATGCTGGAATAATTGGTGAAGTTTAAATTAAAGGGTTTGTGGCTACTCTATGTAATAACCTATAAAGGAAAACTCATTAGCAACTGTTTCCCACCCAAAACGAGGAAGGGATCATAGATGTTCTGAGAGAAGGTCCCATCCTAAGACATTGCGTGGCTAAAGAAAAGCTAATCTGGCCATGCATCACCACGGTATACTGGAGCTGGCCACCAGGCTTTGTATTTGCCCACCGCACTTTTTCTTTTCAAAGTCTTTATGAACTGAGGAGAACACTGGAGGTACTTACCAATCTACAAGTGAAAGAATTTTAAAAATCAGCTAATCTAGACAGTAGGTTCCACATCTTATTCTTCTTTGCAGAACCCAGCACAGAACCCTGGCCTAAAAGGGCCCAAACAAGGTTGGGGGGGGGGGAATTGAATCAAGACTTAACAAGGTATTAACAATTCATCTGTGTCTGCTTCCTGACTGTAGATGCAATGAGACCAGCTGCCTCCTCAAGTCCCTGTCACTGTGTCCCCTGCCATGGCTGTTGCAACTAAACTATGAACTAAAAACCTTTCCATCCTTAAAAAATAGTATAGTAGAATAAAATAAAAGTGGCAAGCTTTAATACTTTTACAGGTCTGCCACATTGGAGGAAAATGCTTTATTACAAAGTCATAGAGAATCTGAAGGATATATGATTTTCTTGAAGCAATTAAGATATTTGGTAGGCAGCAAACTCAGTATTAACCAATGTCATAACTACTCCCAAAGCTCAGAATCTCTTCTAATTCAGTGTCAGAAAAGGGACATGAGAACCTGTACCTCTTTGTTCAGTCCAAGCCAGGCTGGAATCATAATCTTTTCTACAGCTCAAAGCATGTCACGCTAAGAAAAGGAGGCCATCAGCAGGGCACGAGGGTGGACACCTGTAACTCCAGCTACTCTGGAGACAGAAGCAGAAGGATCATGAGTTTCAGGCCAGCTTAAGCAACAATGGAAGACGTGTGAGAAAGGAAAAGAAAAGGAAGAGGACAACTATTGAATGCACTGATATCAGAATAGTGAGAGGATGGATGTTAAATGCCACTAGAAACCCAATTAAAGGACTGGAGCTGTTTACCTAAGAGAGGACAAGACTCCAGAGGTCATGATAGCCATCTCTAACTATGTCAAGGAATGTTATATGAGACCAAGTTTCAGAGGACAGAACTAAGACTAAAACAGACTCTGGCTCTACAAAGAGAAAAACTTGTTTAGCACTAGATATAAAAGGACATGGAACACCCCCAGGCATAGTAAGTTTTCTGTTTTCAATGATATCCGTTCCTTTCACCTCCAGATGAACCCAGTGCCTTTGGCATATTAGGCAAGCTCTCTACCACTCAGCTATATGCTCAGTCTGACCTCTAAGACGTTTAAAATTAAAAGAAAAAAAGTGGATCAACAAATGCCTGAGAACAGCGAACCGATAACTCTCAATGGTTCCTGTCAGTCCTGTATATTTTCAATGTTTCACATACACTTTTCAAGATACTTTAGTGTTCTGAAACCACAGTACTTTAAAAACAAAGCACTTTAAAATGATAAGTAGTTTGTGAAGCATTCCTCTCCACCTTCTAATGCAAAATCTCCTCCTTTTAGAAATTAATACAACACAAAGTTGTGTCCTATAGATGACACAAAGCAACTTCTCTGGGAGGAAATGAGGTGACTTGCTACCCACCAGAAAGAAATGAGAGTGCTGTTTCCATGAGTTAATATACAGCAAAACCTCAACTTTGTAATGGAATGTAGTCCAGATACTGTTTACAATGAGTTATATAAAAATCTAAGCAGTGATGCTATTGGTATTGAGATCCACCTAACTTCACCTTCCCTACGTGGCTTCTTTTACATAGTTAAAAATAGCTGAGGGTGTCTTAGAAATACATAATCCAAGCACATTTTTTGTTTGTTTGTTTGTTTGTTTGAGACAGGGTCTCACTGAGTAGCTCCAGCAGTCTTGGAACTTGCTATGCAGATTAAGTTAGCCTCAACTCACAGAGATCTGTTTGCTCTGCCCCTGAGTGCTAGGATTAAGTCCTGTGCGCCACCACACAGGACTCCAAAGTGCAATTTTTAGGTTGAAAAGCTAATTAATTTTTCGATTAAGATTTCAACTGCTTGCTCTTTTCTCTTACACTGTAGAACAAAGTGTAAAATGACTTGTTTATTAATCTCCAGAGGCAGAGCAGAGCACCACAACCGATCAAAATCTAGTCAGGCCTGAGCACGGGCCTGTACCATTAACTTTGGCATCATCACCTGCTTTATATAGAATTGAAAATAGAGGGGTAAAAATAAAACATGGGCTCAGAACCAGAGCATCTTTGTAAACTCTACACTGGGTAGTTTAATAATAGCACCCAACATCAAATGTCACGCCCATTAGATTATGCATTCCAGTAGTGTGTGTCCCAGCACACGTCACAATTTCCAATTAAGATCTATTGTACAAGCTGGAGCAGTAATAACAGTGGTTACCCCATTTCATGCCCTAAGTGCACTTCCATGTTTACCTGACAACTCTGTGGACTAGAGAGAACCTTTATGGCCAGGGTAGCAGTAGAAATCTAGGGATACACAGGTTGAAGCAATTTACCCAAGATCACAGGGCTATAGAAATAAATGAGGTAGGATATGAATCCAGACGTCCAGACTCAAGTCCACTAGTCTTTTCAGCCTCTGGACGGTCTGATCAACGCAGATTAATAGGTAAATTTGTTCTAACACGTGCAAACTTTTTTTTAGGAGACCAGGGAGACCATAGCTCCTTCAATGGCCTGGTTTCACTTTCCATTACATTGTAACACTCTCCCAATGCAACTGTAGAGGCCAGTCTTTCACGACAGCAAAGACAACGTACAGCAGCAGTGCCTAGGTTTTTAGTTGGAAAACCAATTGCAGGCCAACATGCAACATGAGGTTTCACCGTGGGTAGATAAAACCTCAGACTATGTGACCCACACGCCCGACTCAAGAAGGCTGCAATGAAACTGCGTAACCGACCGGCGAGCGGTTGTTTCAAAACCCCTCCAACGATGGGTGTTTTACCACTCCATTTACTTGAAAACGGGACAAAATGGAACTTGCATAAACAATTAGTCATCAGGACGCTCTGAAGTTACAAACCACCTCGTTCGCAAATTCGAATCCGCAGATAAGTTCCTACTTCTCAAAGGGAGGGGGGGTGGGGAGGGGAACGGCTGACACTATAGAGAGCACAGAGTGAAAACACCTGGTGCCCCAGCGGAAGCGGATCAAAGGGGAAAAGTAGCCCAGAGACCGGTGGTGGTGCGTGTGGGGGAGGTGGTGCTCCCCGACCTGCGCCAGTCTCCACCGGGATGGGGACTTTTCCGAGTCCTTTCCCCACCCTCCTCCTTCCCACTCTCCGTCTTGACATCTCCAGGCTGCCTGGGCCAGCGTGTCCCCACGGCGATCGGGAAAAGCATTAGGAAGGAGGAGGGGTGACAGGCCGGCCAAGAAGCCCAGGAGCGAGCTCAGCTCCCCAGCCCGGCTCCCCGGGGTCTGCACCTGCAGGGTGGTGATGTGCTTGTCGTTGAACTTGTTCTCGCAGTAGCGCAGCACCAGCGACGTCTTCCCCACGCAGCCTTCCCCGAGCAGCACCACCTTGAAGGAGTAGGCTCGGCCCGCCGCCGCCCCGCCGCCGGCCGCAGCCATCCCGCCGCTGCCCGGCCGCCCGAGCCCCGCGCCGAGCCCCGCGCCGCCGCGCCCGCTCCTCCCGGGCCCGGCTCTTCACGCTACGCCGAGCCCGGTGCCCACCGCGTCCTCCGCGGGCGAGGCCGGAGAGGGCCGGGAGAAAGTCCCAGAATGAAGGGCCCCGGCCACCACGTCAAGAACCCGAGGCCAGGGGGTTGTCCTCCCTCTCCTCCCTCTAATGGCGTCTCCTTCCTCCTACGTCACACTCCGCGTCACGTGCCCGCGGTGGGCGGAGTCGGCGGCGGGGCCACTCCGGGCCTGTTCCCGCGGCGGCCGCGCTGACGGGCTCGGTGCTCCGCGGCGCCCGCGGTGATGAGGAGGGGTTGGTCCTGGAAGCAGACCTCACTCTGGTGGGAGAGAGTTCAGGACGTGGTCGTCTTGCCCCGGGGATGTTCACAGAGCGGTCGGCCTTCAACCAGGGGTCGTCCCACGGCAAGTCCGGCCAAGGTGCCCTTGAGTCGCTTTCTATGGGATCTCAAATCCGGGCTATTGAACTTTGCGGTCTGTCCACACGGCCAGGTCTTGTACTGGTCTTCCAGGTCTCAGCTTAAACCGGAAAGGCTTCCCTGACCACCCAGACCTTCCCACATCCTTCCATCCCTCCTACTCGCTTCCTCGCGGAGATATTTCCTAACAATGGGGTGCTTTCTTTATCAGCGCTTACCACACTCGGTGGAATTCCTATTAGGCTGTAGGTCTAAGGGCAAGGATTGCAGAAGACTAAATCTACCTCCCGTTTCCAGCCCTAAAAGCCAGGCTAAGAATGAATGATGTTTCTTAAGTCGTTAAGCCCTGCTTTCCCGGGATTTCTGTCTTCCATGCCCACTCCACTGTTATGGGTCTGGTTTATTTGAAGATTGCTTATTTTTCTTCACGTGCCTCCACTTTATTTCTAGAAATACACCTTCCCAAGAAAGCAATCTGGTATTTCTTAAATTTTGTAATTTGGTGTCAATTAACGTATATTTTTGTTTTATTTCATTAGTCCTGTTTTACACTTCAACCTAAAAAGTAAAAGGCAGCCCATTCATTCATTTATTCAACCAGTGTGTGAAATACACCCACTACTTGCCATTCTCTGTTTTGCATTAGATACAACGCCTCTGTCCTCAGCTTACATTTTTATTTTTATTTTTTTTACCAAGGAAATAAGACATGGACAATTACACAATGAATATGTCTAACTTGAAGCAGTTTCCAATATTTTGCAAACATACATGGAAAGCTAGCTGAGTTGGCATGCCAGAAAAGCTTCCTCAAGAAAGCTGCCTTTTGTTAGGATTATCTTAGGCCAAAAAAGAAAGACATGAAGTAGGAAGAAACCTGTAACATTGAGCAACTGAAGTGTGACAATAATTCAGACAAAAAATCAGAGTAAGGAACATCACATTTGAGTTCAAGGCCAGTCTTTTTGCATTGTGAGTTCCAACCTTTTTGGAGCTACATACAAGACCCTGTTTCAATAGTAATAATAGTAATAAGAAAAGAAGTTATAATGAGACTTGCAAGGAATCAAGGGGTCAATTCAAGAACAGCCTTTAATCAGGTACAGAATGCTATCAGGTCCTTTTTTAGAAAATTACTCTGGCTGTAATTAGAAAATTGGAGAAGGATAAAATTACTTTTATCTATCTAGAATCAGTCATTTGTAAGATTGTCTTATAAATTATTTCATAAATGTATCTGAGATTAAATTATCTACCTTACTCCTTTTGCTGGCGAGTCTTAAGTCAGCTTGACACACTAGAGTTACTTGAGAGGAGGGGATCTCAATTGAGAAGATGCTGCCATATGATCCAGATGTAAGGTATTTTCTTAATTAGTGATTTGTCGGGGAGGGCCATCCCTGAGCTGGCCCTGCTTTTAGAAAAAAGCAAGCTGAGCAAGCCAGGGGAAGCAAGCCAGTAAGCAGGCCCCTCCATGGCCTCTGCATCAGCTCCAGTGTCCAGGTTCCTGCCCTCACTTCCTCCAGTGGTGGACTATGAGCTGGAAGTGTAAACCAAATAAACCCTTTTCTCCCCAACTTGCTTCTTTGTCATGGTGTTTCATCGCAGCAGTTGAAACCCTAAGACACTCCTCTGCATACCTCCCACAAGGTATGTAGAATTAGTAAAAACCTTTCTTTCGAAAGAGACTTTTCTTCTGTTGCCGATTTTAAATTATTCCTCATAATGTACTGAAATTTGTATTTCTCAGCCTACAATTAGTTCTAGAGACTAAAGTCATACAGCATGCATTTAATCCCAATTCTTTGAACATTCTCTTCTCTCATCCTTTGGATGGCCATTCAAATGACAGGTATCCCAGATTATTTAACAATGTGGACATAAAACCTTATAAGTGAGCCAGGTGGTGATGGCAGACACCTTTAATCTCAGCATTTAGGAGGCAGCGGCAGGCATATCTCTGAGGCCAGCCTGGTCTACAGCAGGACTACACAAAGAAACACAGTCTTACAAACAAACAGCTGGGGCAGTGGTACATGCCTATAATCCTAGTATTCAGGAGGCAGAGGCAGGCAGATCTTGGTTTGAGGCCAGCCTGGTCTACAAAATGAGTCCAGGACAGCCAATGCTTAAACAAAGAACCCTGTCTTGGAAAAAACAACCATACATGTAGCACTTTGCATTCACCAAATTTGTTTAAAATTATTTAAAAACCATTGTAAAATAAAACTGAATGTCAAGGTAATTGTTTCAGTTTGTGATTTAAGAAATGCATAAAAAAATTTATAGACTTCAATAAGTAGGTCATCATACTTTTGAATTCACATTGCCAAATACAGATGTAAATTGTTGCTTGGTACTGACCCCAAAGATAATAGATACTAGTTCCTAGGGCCTATGAGAACCTTTTTTTATATATGATTAAGTTCTTGGCAATTGAGGTTGGGAGATTATCTGGTATTTGGGGTGGGCCTACATACAGTCATAAAGATACACACCCAGAAGGAAAGGTAATGGGAGACTGAGACAGAGGTTGGAGTAATATCACCACAAACCAAAGGTGCTGACAGTCACAAAAGCCAGAGAAGACATGGAACCCCTGGATCCTGAATGGGGAGTGCAGCCCTGCCAACATACTGATTTTTGGACTCCTAATTTTTAAAATTGGGAGAGAATTAATGTATACTGCTTTGGGCTACCAAATTTATATAATTTGTTACAGAGCCATAGCCCTAATATATAATTTATATTAGAGAAAATCAGTAACCTCCATTTGTCCAAGCAATGAACTGAACTCAAGGCAATTCTGTGGCAGTATACTGTGAACAGTTTAAGTCATTCTTGGTGTCAGCAAAGATTGGTCTACTTCAGCTTGGTAAGGAGTGCCGTGGAGAAGTAGAGCGCTAGCTGTCCCAGAGATAAGAAGAGCTGCAAAAGTGTGAAGGTTCCTCCCTGCGCAGATAACTGGGAATAGATTCCTGACTGGAAAGAGTTGAGGTGTGATAGTGAACCATGTAGCTCCTTTGCACCAAAGTGACATTCTTCCCATGGACAGAAGTAAGGAGAGGGAGGTAAGGAAAGGGGCGGGTGGGGAGAGGAGAGAAGTTTAGGCAAGCACAGTATATCAAACGGAGAAAATTGCCACAGAAGGATAATACACAGCTCCAATAGTTTCTGTCAGGGGGAAAAAGTTGATGATAATAAGGTTGGGTTTATGGGCCACTTTTAATGTATCTGAGCCCTGCTTTTTAAGTTGTCTTATTTTTTTCCTTGTTCATACACTTGTGTACTAAGACCAAACTTTTCTCTAGCATGACTGTCCAATCCAGGGATCCTGGCAGTTGACATTTGATGAAATGCCTCGAGCTGAGGAGTCAGATAACTACTGTTTCTTCATTTAGGAAGGAAGGTTGTCTATGGTTTTTGTTCCTCTTTTGTTCATTCATGTACCGTTAAAAATATTTATCTGGATGCTACTATCTGCCAGTGATGGTACTATGAATGGGACTCAAGTAGATATGGTCTCTGTCAGCATGTAGCTCAATAAATGAGAGCCACAGGCAATTAAATAGTTAATGTTGCATTTTGGCACATGTTTGTAATCCCAGCACTCAGGAAGGCAGAAGCAGGAGGATCTCTGTGAGTTCAAAGCCAGCTTGGTCTACAAAGCAAGTCTGGGACAGCCAAGACTACACAGAAAAACCCAGTCTCAAAAAAAAAAAAAAAAAAAAAAAAAAAAGAAGAAGAAGAAAAAGGAAGGAAGGAAGGAAGAAAGAGAAAAGAAAGAAAGAAAAGAAAATAGATTCTTCTTCATGGCCCTACCACAATTTCTCCTCCTAGCTCCCCCCATTTTCCCTCTCCTTTAGTCTACTCCCTGACTCTTGCTCCTTTTCCTCTTAAGACAATAGTAGGTCTCTAAGAGACGACAGCCAGACAGGACAAAACAAGATACAACAAGACAAGGCAAAAGCCCTCAAATCAAGGCTGGATAAGGTAACACAATAGAAGGAGAAGAGTCCCAAGAGCAGGGAAGAGTCAGAGATCCACCTGCTCCCACTATAAGGAGTCCCACAAAACCACCCAAGCTAACAGCCATAACATGTGCACAGAAGACCTGGCACAGACCCATGCAGGTCCCATGCTTGCCCTTTCAGACTCCGCTGAAGGCATTTTTTTTAAATCCTCCATTGAACACTGATTCCTTTCAGCAAGTGTTACAGGGAATACATTTTTATCCTAACTAGGCTTTTCCTCAGGAGAACAGGAGAATTTAAAACATTTTTCTAATTCCTTAGAAAGATAGTACTTACATAAGTTCTGTTTCTGTGGAGTTTTTTTTTTTTTTTCAAATTCAAGAAGTTTGGGCTAACAAAATTTACATAACATGCAATCATTTGGAAAATAATACATTGAATATTAGGGGATATGGTGGGATTTAAGAGAGGAGTACAGTAAGAGAATAAAGAACTGAACAAGAAACCAAACAAATATAATTTCTACAGCTGCCGGGAATGGGGAGGGTGAAGTTTGGTGGCTGTCAGTAAAGCAGGGACTTTGACTATGACCCAGTGCATTTTCTTTTAGGTGCTTGTGACTTTTAGGAAGTCAAGAAAAATGGCTTTTCACTCCATGTAAGGCACTAATGACAGAACAAAGAAATTCTACCAAAGTCTAGCTTGGTGAGCCCATGAGTTGACTGGGGTTGCTTTTAGTAGCATGGATGAGGGGTTACTTGCAGGAGGGTGGTGATATTCAGGCAGATGGATCCCTGAA